AAAAAAGCTCCCAGGGTTACCTCGAGAAACATCTCCTTTAACAAACGCATTTTGATTTTTTTGTTTCAGATGATTCTGTTGCGAATTATGATGTACACCGTGTTTTTTCGAGGCGCCTCCGGAGATTCACTGTCACTCGCTCAATTTTCAATATTTTGCAATGAAAATTTAGGAAAATATTGTTCAAATGTTGCATTATTATATGGAAATTGACTGAATAAACTAACACTATCTGTATCGCCAAAAAAAATTCTTAAAAACATGCCTTTTTTTTCACCGAATAAACCTTACCCCCCCCTTAAATAAAGTGCATTCGAATCAAACAAGTCTTCGCGATTTCTATTCCGTGGACTTGTTTACCTTTTTTCGCAGGATTTTCTGTTACCTAATGTTTTCTTATAGTTTAAACAAAAAGATTTTTTTTTCAAAGTACTGTTCTTACACTCGTTTTCGTACTATAACTCTTAGTTAATTATATGATTGTAAAGGGATTTTCTATTATTTTAGACATGTATATTTAATTACTTCTCTAACTCGATCCAACAAATTTAGGACTGTTTGTAAGTTTCCTATGAGAAGATTGAACCTTTTCTTACATATGGAAACAGGGACAAAAACTCACCGAGCGATCTCACCGCGAGCGATTTTTACTATAAGCGACCTTACAGCTAATGAGCGACTTTTAATGTAACGTATTAAGAAATTTTGTATTTTTCATCCACTGAAGATGCCTCAATGCGGAGCCGAAACGTTTGGGTGCTAATTTTTATTCTAAATATACTTGAGATCACAGTACTAACTCCGTGCAAGGCTCACTAGCCCTTCTTTTGATATTTTGCTTAAAAAGTTTTTTTCTCCTTTTTTCAAGATCTATCAGTTTCAATGTCTATCATTTTGTAAAGATTATTTGTAATTCAATTTCAATTAAGTGGTTGTCCAAACGGTTGTAGGAAATGTTTAAGCTTTTATTTAAGCTATAGTTGATTTTAATATAATGATTTTATGTTGAGTTATCACTATTAAAATGTGTTTAAAAAAGCTGTGTTACTACAATTTGGAGACTCATTTTTTTGCGGATAAATGTATATTATTTGATGAAAGAAAATATTATACCGTTTCCTGGATGTGGATCAGCGTGTACAAATCCTGTATGAAATATTTGTTCTCCCATTAGTGTGATTAATTTGTTACCAACATCCATAAGATCTAATCCTTGAGCCTTGATTCCTTCCACATCAGTCACTTTGATACCATCGATCCATTCTGTTGTAAGAACCCTCTAAACACATAAATTATTATAAAAGCGAAAAAACATAACAATAACATTTATTTGATTTAATATGAGGTTAATTCACAGTCTGAGACAACAATATTTGGCTTTTAATTTTTTCTGCAAGTCATTTATAATACTTCAATTAATAAAAAAACTAATAAAATTTTTAATATAAACTTTCAATATAACATCAGTCCTCAGACCCGTGCCAGACACTAGGCTTTATTCAGCTCCTGCACTAGACACTGGTCCTATCTCGGACTTAGCGCCCGACACCAGGCTCCTATCAGCCCCGTGTCGGACACCAGTCCATATCATTCCTCAGAACCTCTCTTCATCAGATATTGTTATTTGGCAGGAATACTCTCGATGGTTTTGCCTTACTTTTCCGAAAGGTGGCGAGATCGCTTTCCAGAAGAGTGTATAAAGTTAGCCCTCCTTTTTTTGAAAATTACAATTTTGAAAGTTGTTCCAGGTTGTTCTAACTTTGTTCCACATTGTTTCAAAACAATATTTTATACCGAACGGTTCTCCAATAAAACAAAAAAAATAATTTTTTTGTTTGGCCCCCCTTTTTTCAAAAATCAAACATTTTTTTATCGAATTAGATTGTTCTAGAAATCGGTATAAATTATTGCAATTGTTCAAAATCTATTATTTAACAATAGGGTAAAGATATCAATAATCCATCTTTTTAATCATTATTATTTAGCATTAATAAATCGAATCAAATAAGTCCTAAACCTCTCATATTATTTAATAACGCGATATTTAATAAATTAACGATGATTTTTAAGATCTGTTTGTGCAGTAATTATTAATTATGATTTAGAAATCAGACTAAATTATTGCAATTGTTTGAAATCTACTATTTAATAATTAGAAGAAACTATTAGTGATCCATCTGTTTAGTTATTGCTATTTAACATTAATAACTTGAACAGATTAAGTTTTAAATCTCTCGCACTATCCATTTGTTTATAACGCGGTATCTAATAAATTAATTGAAAATATCTGAGGAAAGGGACCCAAGTGTCCCCCTTCGATTTCGATGAGCTTTTGATATATTATTGTCCAGACAAAACCAAGAATTAAGCTTATTTGTGCTACTTCGCATATTTGTGCTTTTAAGAGGTGAAACACATCTTAGAAAAAAATCGGCCATTTTTTTATTTCAATGTGAAAATTGTCGAAACTAGGAGAGAAGAAAAAAACGTTTGTACCAAAGTTGAGTAGCTTTAAGAGTACTTTATAATTATAATTAAAAATAATTTTTTTGTTTAATTTTTTGTTCACCCCCACTACCAAAATTTTTTTACCGAATAAAGGTTATTTTAAAACGAATTCAACTCTGTGTGATAAAGTTATTTTTCGGAGTATCTTTCGAGAAATAATTAAACGCCTCTATACACACCATCCGTGCTCGTTTACGCTGCGCGCACACAGCAATTCTTCACGCAGCACGTTCTGCTCGCATTTTTGCATTTAACAGGGGATAACGATGAAAGCAAATCTATTTTCGCAATACTCTGCGGATGTATAACTATGAATCGTTTTTATCACGTGCATTTACATATTTGGCAGTACGGCGGGTTGCGCGACAGATTTCGCAGGGGCAGGCATAACTCAATAGATATAACGATGGTATACATATATATGGTATGGATGGTATACGTATACCATCATTATCTATTGAGCCGTGCTTGTCCCCGCGAAATCTGTCGCGCAACCCGTCGTACTGCCAAATATGTAAATGCAACACCCTGTACGGCTGAACAACGCTTACGAAGCATTTGAATGTCATATATGTAGGCTTTCTAGTGGTTCTGCGTACAAAGGAACAAACAATTCTTGTATGACATATGATATTTATTGAACACAGTCTGATTGAATGTACAGACTTACGTCGTGAGAATATTGCGCTGAACGATAAAAAAACAAAACTCTATATAATCGAGATATTTTACACTGACCGTTTCTTAACGGCATTGACCTTGCCTTATCTTCTCAACGAGAGTGATCTTTCTTGTCTATAAAGGTGCACCATGCGCCTCGACAAACTAATATCGATTTCTTACAAGGGACATGTCACAACTGTCCGGCACCGATTTAATTCTCCTTAGAATATGTTTTTAAACACAAAAATCTAAGAGACACGTATTTTTTTATATGTGCGGAATCTCGGGTTTAAAGGGTGAAACACCCTTTTGAAAAAAAATTGTTTTTTCTTTCACGGCGAATATCATCGAAAATATAAAAGATAGAAAAAAATGTTTTAAACAAAAGTTGTACGGTTTGAAAAGTACTTTCAAGTTGTAAAGAAAAAAAATTTTTAATTTTTATTTACCAAAATACC